TACATCTGTAAGAATCTTCGGGCTCATTTACTTTGGATCACTATTATTTGCAAAAAGTAAAAGCAAGATTTTGTCTAAGGCTTCATTTATAAATAGTATCAGTTAATAGTTAGTAGGTTTTCTTCGGAAAACTTTTTTAGTGTTCGATATTTGCATAACTCCGTACTTTACTCATATTCAATTGGACTTCTCGCCTTTTCTTAACTTCATCTTATTCAGAAAATACTTCCGTAATGAGATGCTTAATCAGCAGAAAAATGTTCGCCTCATCTTCCAGGGCCGAGAATTAACCGATCGCGACCAGCGTCGCTCATCTTTGACTAGGGGGCCGCTCCGTAGGCTATGCGACTACTCGGTTACCGATAATGCCACTATTCATTGTTTAGTTACCAATCGACCTTCCTCATCAATTGTTTCGGCTTCTACGGATGACAGTACTCAAATACGTCGGCGACGGAATCCAGGGGGCTCATTTTATTCATACATACAATCGAGCACTGTATCGGCTGCAGCCACCTTTTTTGATCGCTCTAACTCTACACAACTGAATGATTCTGGAAACTCTGGGGCCAGGCAACCCGTTTCTGGAACTCCAAATCGCTTCATATCAACTGCTAACGCTCTGTTGGAGCATATTTTTTCAGATCTTGACTTAAGCAATCGTATGCTTTTAATATGCTTCACTGGGATTCTCTGCATATCCTGGCTCTTCCATCTTACACATCGGCACTATTATAATCATTATTCCACTATCACACTTCTCGGTGTGACAGCGTCTTTTGTCCTAGGCTTCTTCCTTCAGCTGCCACCTGGCGAAATTGCTTTCACAGCTCAGGTGATTCCACGCCTACATATTCGGCAAAGTCGGGAGCCTTCTGCTCCAGAGGCCCCCCTGTCATCGTCTCAATCAATTGCGCATACACTTTCTGAGAGAGTTCCATCTTCCAGTTCACACCAAGTTTTAGAAACTGCCACCATTCAGGCAGCAGAATCAGGGCTGCAGAACACAATATTTTCAGCGGAACCATCGCAAGCTACTTCCAGTATTAGCCAGCCCCTTGCTGAGGCCCCAGTTGAGGATTTAGTTTCTTCAGTAAGGGCTCTCTTATAAATATACTTCTTAACAATGCCAGATACTAGTCTCATTCAATGTAGTTTATTATGTTTATATTTAGTTTAATATTCATTTAATTTTTTCTAAATTAATTGTATCTAATAATTTATTGATATACTTATTTAGCTGTGTGGCACTAACAAACTTAATGTGCTTAATTGCCTTTGTAATTGAAGCAAACGAGAAAGTAGCATAGCTTCGGTTGCATTATGCTCTTATAAATTAATTTAGGTCTTATTCTATTTTTTCTGAAAGACTAACTTGAAATATAGGATTGGCCA